ATATTTAATGTGCATGAAAATTCAGAGAGCACTGTGTCATCAAAGTGAACATTGGCTTCAAATGGCAACAAAAATATTGAATCCTGAGACTTTTTAATTGAATTCGAGCAGCTTTCTTGTTGTCTGCTATAAGAACAAGTACATAAAAAGAGGTCAAGCAATATCACAGAAATGTTCATATAAAAAACAACAAAAAGTGTCCTTTTTCATCGGGTAAATATTAGAATTTAACAATAATATCCTAACAACACATTCTAGTCAGTGAAAATTGTACATTCTCTAGACATCAACTTCGGTGTAATGTGGTTTTCTTGAAGCAGGATATTAAAATGATATCTCGATGCTCCATATACTTCCCTAATTTTACACTTTACACTGGTGCAATAGAACAAGACAGTCCAATATCACATGACTACCGATGTGCCACTTCACTTTAAACCCAACAATGTTTCATGTAATGCAAACTTGTTTACATCATGCTAAATTGTTCGCACTCATCGTCACCGTGATGTGGGAAAATGCGAGGAATTATGGGCTGTGCGTCGAGCTTTAACAATGTCCTCTTCATTACCTCGTGCTGGATCTCACTAACTGCCTCCTTATGACCACACAGCTGAATTCCATCCGGTCACAATGGTAACACAGACCATGAGGCACAGAAGACAATCTGATGTCCTAAAGTCATAATGTAAACTTAGGCCGTTATAAAAATGGCCACAACAAACTTTTTGTGTTGATTTTTCCTGTATCGATTATTTGCAAAAGGCAAGTCTTCAGATGAGAGTTGTTTGTCGACTCAGTCCCGCTGCTAATACGTCTTTAGAGATGAGCATGGTATTGAATAAACTCAAGCTTTTGACGTTTATGCTAACAATTATTCAGTGACACTGAAAAAAATGAAAACAAAATGTTCTTGATGCTCACATTAGACTGAGTGAGTTCACGTTATAGTGAAAATGTCTTCATTTTTTAAAACTGAGATTAACAATCAAGGTTTAGGCATTCAAGGATTCAAGGCTTTTATTGGTCACAAACACAGTTATAAATGGTATAACGCGCAGTGAAATGCTTTGCGCACCTGTTCCACACCGAAACAATATTAAGAGGATGAATAAAAATAAAGAATAAAACACACAAGAAATATATATATATATATATCTAGGGAGTGAGAGAAAAAGGGATAAAGAATAAGCTAAATAAATAAATAACATTTTCAAACCATGCAAAAGGAGATGGAATAAATAAAGAAAATAATAATATTATATACACGTATATATACAAAGTGCAAAGTGACTGGTTTGTCTATTGAGTCGATTGTTTCAGGTTCAGCAGGCGGACAACCTGAGGGAAGAAACTCATCCTCTCTGTCGTTGCCTTCAGGCAGACGTAACGCCGCCCTGATGGCAGCATAGAGAACAGTCTGTGGCTGGGGTGGGTGGGCTCACTCACAACCTTCCTGCCTTTAACCTGCATCGTTTGGTGTAAATGTCCTGCAGGTTGGGGAGGGTGGTTCTGATGGTGCACTCAGCCGAGCGGACCACCCTCCTTGGGGCCAAGAAGTCCTGCTGGGTGCTGCTGCCCATCCAGGTGGTGATGCTTCCAGCCAAAACACTGTCAATGGTGCAGGTGTAGAAGTTCCTGAGCACCTTGAGAGGGAGCTGATAGTCCCTCAGGCGTCGGAGGAGGAGGAGACGCTGTCGATCCTTCTTCACCAGGGTGTTGATGTGACAGGACCACGTCAGGTCCTGCATGTTGTTGACACCCAGGAACTTGAAGCTCTATACTCGCTCCACCTCTGTTCCGATGATCCTGAGTAGGTGGTATACCCTCTGCTGCTTCTTGCTGTAGTCTACAATCAGCTCTTTAGTCTTGCTGATGTTCAGGAGGAGGCTGTTGTCTCTGCACCAGTCCTCCAGGTGGGTGATCTCCATCAAATAGTCCTCCTCCTTGTTGTTGGAGATCAGACCCACCACTGTTTGTCATCAGCAAACGTAATGATGGTGTTAGAGTCTGATGTGGACAGACAGTCATTGGTGTACAGTGAGTACAGCAGAGGGCTCAGCACACAGCCCTGGGGGGCACCGATGTTCAGGGTGTGTGAGGGGGACAGGTGGTTCCCCACTTGAACCACCTGTGGTCTGCTGGTCAAAAAGCTGTAGACCCACCTGCACTGGGAGGAGGTGAGTCCGAGGTCCTGCAGCTTAGTGACCAGTCTGGAGGGGATTATGGTGTTGAACGCTGAACTGAAGTCCACAAACAGCACATAATTTCCCTTCCTAGTGTCCAGGTGTGCCAGGGCTGTGTGTCGCAGGTGATTTATGGCGTCGTCTGTGGATCTGTATAGCCAGTGTGTAGGGGGTCCAGGGAGGCAGGTAGGGAGGAGGTGATGAAGTTTCTGACCAATCTTTCAAAACATTTCATCACCACAGAGGTACGGGCAATGGGCCGGTAGTCATTAAGACAGCTGGGCTTGGCTTTCTTGGGGACAGGAACAATCAGGAATAGTTTTTCATCATTTTGTGAATTATACCCATGAGTTAGATTAGAAAACTGAAGCCACTTTGACATCTGTCCCTTCAGTATGAAGCTGTATCCAGCAGCCAGTTAGCTTAGCTTAGCATGAAGACAGGACATGGGGGAAACAACTAGCAAATGGTTGTAGCGGTAAGCAACAAAACCGAAAAACAACAATAACTGTAGAAGCAAAATATAATTCAGTGAAAGAAAAGCAAGATGATCATGACTGTAGCACTATTTTAACTCATTATATTAAAGATTCTGCCTTTGAGCTCATGCTTTGTTTTCACTTTAGTTGATTTATGTTCCACTGATTTATTCCATTGAACTATTATGACCTAAATTTGATGCCATAACTCTTGGCGACTTCCAGGAGTCTTGCCATCGTCATGCTGATCGGCGGACTTTGTTAACTTTGGATGGAGCATGGTAAGCTGCTTCTCTGTTTCCAGACTTTATGCAAAGCTGAGCTTACCAGCATCTGACTTTTGTCTTAAATTTACTAAACAGACTTGAGGCTACAACCGTCTTCTCATCTCAGTTCCTGCAAGAGTGCAAATAATAATTATATTATTCAAAGTTCCAAACTGTTCCTTTCTGCCATATGTTAAATCAAAAGCACACAAATTTCACACCTTATGAAAAAAAGGTGTATATGTATGAAATACTGGAGATGAATGATGGGCCTGAAAGCATGAGGAAAGAAGTTTCAAGCACTTCTCTGAGCAAATATGCTCTTGTGCATATTTACTGCAGGAGCCGACATGAAGAGAGTGAGTGCAGCAGCTGGTGGTGCCTGTCAGCAGGAAGACGGAGGGAGGATTTTGATTGCAGAGCAGAGATATGAAAGCTTCAAAAAGGGAGAGAAAATCTCCCTTTTTTCTTTCCTGTCAGTTGCTGTTGCCTTTTCATGAGCGCTTTTTGAAAGTCATGGCATCGGAGGAGTGACTCGTTTTATATTCGTGGCAGCGAATGAAAGGTAGAACTTTTATTTACAATGACTTAGCCAAGAAAGAAGAGCTATGTATAGAAACTGAACTTCCGAATGCTGCCTGGACTGTTCCAGAAACACCAACTATATGAAAGGAATATTCAGGTGATGTAGAATACCATAAAAATACAAACAGAAATTCACCAAACACAGTAACTCCAGCACTTGGACATGAAACATGAATGAAAATACTTGAGACTTTGCTAAACTATATCAAATACTGTGCACTGTAGAAAAAGATTACATTAAAAAAACAAACAAAGAAAAAAAACAGTTTTTAACTTGACTTTTACAGATTTAAACTGTTTTGTTGAAGTAGGAATAACAAGTTGTAAAATCACAGAAATAAAGTATTAATTTACATATTAACTGTAAGAAAACAGGCCGAATATCCTGTAAAAGCACAGAAAAAAAAAATGACTTTACATGTTGACTGTGAAAAAGACAAACCAAAACTGTAAATAATGTCCACATCAAAAATCTATATTTTTGCAAAAGGTTGTTTGTTCTTTCACAACATATATATATATATATATATATATATATATAAATGCAGATATTTGGTGTATTTTGAAAGAAAAATTATGCATTTTAAGGATTGAAAAACAAAAAAATCCCAAATTTAATTCTTAAAAAAATTTGAAACTGATTTTTTTCATGTTTTTCTATATGATGGATAATATCTAATAACAATTGAATTAATTAGCATCTTGACTTAAAAACAAACAAACAAACAAACAAAAAACAGACCAAAGCTGCACACAATGTCCACATCAAAAATCCACATTTTACAAATAGTAATTTGTTCTTTTACAATGTGTAGCTGTGAATGACACTGTTTTACTGTGTTTAAATCAATGAGAAAATACTTATTTTACAGATACTTGCAATTATTGTGACTGTTTTTACAGTTGTTTTGTTGTTGTTGTTGTTGTTGTTGTTGTTGTTGTTTTACATTACAGTATTTCATTATTTTTTAACTTTGCTTTGTGGCACCCTGCTGCAAGATTTTCACTTTTTTTTCTTCTTTCTTTCTTTCCCCCCCCCCCTAAACAGTGGATTCACCAACAGAACAAATAGAGCATGATAGAGAACTCTGCACAAAACCTGCTCATCATAATTCCTCAATCATTTCCCAACCCCATCCCCTCCTCAGTATTCCTCCCATTCCTCATTCCTTCCTCTCCTTGACTTTTCATCCACTTTTATCTTTTTCATTTCCTCTGGTCTTCCTCTCAGTCTGACCCCTCCCTTTGTTTTCCTGAATCTCTTTCAGCCTGTCTGCCATGTGAGGAAACGCCAGCTTTCAAGCTTCCCCTCAGACATCAGAATGAATTTTTATTTTTTCATACACACTTTTCCCGCCGAGCCCTAACTTCTTGCCACACACTCATGCACGCACACACACACACACATCCCCATCTGAAACCACACCCATCTCCAGGTCTCGAGCTCCTCCCACACGCGCTCCCGACGCATTTCTAACTTTTTCCTTTTTTCCCTAGTGAGAGCTCCAGCTGCCGCTTTGCCACAGTTGGAGGCTGTTTTCATTGAAATATTTTCATGTTTTTGGGCCCCAAAAATCCATCTTTTTCACCTCCATATCTGGAACTCCCCTCAGATCTGTTCTCTTCTTGGTCCAAACTCCGTGAGTGAACTTTTTATTTCTTTATTCTTAGTTTGTATGCACGCTCCTCTTCTAGGGATTCGTGCGTAATTCAAACAAACGCACTGACTTGGTGCGTCTTTGATGTGGGTTTCAAAGTTTAACTTTCCCTATTTACTCTTCTAGGGGGGGAAAAAAAAAAAAAAGCTTAAAAGCCTACAATAAATTATGCTCTATTTGGATATTTCCTTTCTATCTCTTTCTGTGATTTTGTTAGATAATATTATCACAGCGTTGGCTTGGTGTTTTCCCTTTTGGGTATTTTTACGCAGATCATAACGCAGGATTTCAAGTTCAGAGTTCCAGGTTGGAAATGAAAGGGGCGTTGTCATCCACCAGTGTGTGTGTGTGAGTGAAATGTATTTGTCTGTCTGAGTGCACTGAATGAATGTTTTGTGCGTTGTGAAGGAAGATAGACAGTTTATTTTATCAGTGGATGAAGGAAATGTGTGCCGTGCATGTTTACTTTAAAACCTGAAAAGTTAAGGTAGTTTTTTCACAAATGGCAACTTTTAATTTGGACAAACTGACTTTTGTAGTTTGCATTGGCCTGATTTTTGTTAATTAAAAAAAACAAAAAAAAACTTTATTGTGTTTTACTGCTGCTGGGTCATTTTCCTGTTTCCTGATTTTATGTGTATTTTTAGATTGAGTGTAAAAGTGTGTAGAAGAGAAAGGTCATGAACATAGATGATATTTTTCAGTCAGGTCCCTTGTATTTTAGTTTTAATGAATCCACAATTGCAGTCTCCCCTCATGGGGAGGCGCCCTCTTGCCTTAACAGTATCTGATTTGCTATGCTGAGAGGACATTTCTCAAATTGAGGCACAGAGGTGGACATTCCTGGAGTCTGCTCAGGAAAGATTTAATATCATGTAAAATGACAAGCTTTGGGTCATGAAACAAACTTGTGGAAACTATTTTTGCATTCCTGTGCTGATGGCCTGCAGTTTCCTATAAATACATAGAAAAATGCTGATCAGGCTGAAAAACTAAGAAAAGAAAGGGGATTATGAAAGCTGGAGTTGGACCCCTTTTAAGTTGCAACACGCTCCAGGAAATTGCTGAAAATGTTTTCCACTCCAGCACGGATGCTGCGTGTTGTCTTTGTGACGCCGGTGATCCAAGAAATCTAATGTAAACTGAAGGTGAAAAAAACTCTGACTTCCAAAAGTTAAAGGTCGGTAAATCCTAACTATCCAACACTTAGAGAGAACACGTGAAGAAATGTGTCAAACAATGGCTGAACTGCTGAAGTTGAATGTAGCTGCTTTTGATGGACACTGCTGCTCTGTTTTATTCCCACCTCTATAGGATGCAGGAGGAGTGTTTTGGTGGTTAATGTCTTGTAACTGAAGTTTGAGCCAAAAAATCTGTCCATCTGAGGTCATTTCATGATGCAATTTGGAGCAGAAGTGTTAATTTGAAAGTATTTCCCATCATACCGAACACAGCAAGAGGCGAGAGGTGTGTGATATTCGATCTGAGAGGGGGATTAGACAGCAGGGTCACTTTAAGGGCTGCTGACAGATGAAAACTATCAGGGAACAAGTGTGAAGTGAGCGAGAGGAAGAGAGAAAAACAGGACAATGGGGGAGGATGATGATGACAAATGGATGAGGATGGAGTACGTGGAGTGGCGGTCTCCTTTTCACCTCTCCATCAGGTGCTGGCAGACCTTCTCTCTGCCATGTGGAAGTCATTACTCAGCACTGTCACATTAGGAATGTGTGCGAAAACACACACACACACACACACTCCTAAAACCCATGTCAGTGTCCAACATGAAAGAATTCCAGCAGGTCTTTAAACCCAGCAGGGAAGCATTTGTGTGTGTTTGCGTGCATTCAATTGTGTTTTTCAGGTTGTTCTTGCAAAAAATGTAGGCTTCATTGTGCAGAATAAGGTCTGTGTTGCTCTCACCTGATGCTCCTATAGAGCTAAAATATTCATCTTAAAGCCTCAAGGCAGCCAGTGTTTTATTTTATGGACAATGCAGATGCACTCAGATTGATGAATTATTAGGCTTGTGTTAAAAGTAGTAGCCATCTTCAGAAATCACTGTAAAAAGTTGAGTGTTTTATTGATTTGGGATGTAAATGCAAATCACCTGAGTCACCAGATACAATAAAGGCAATTTGATGAAGTTCAGACAGAAGACTACAAGAATGAATCATGTTCTGTTCTATTATTTGGAGTCTAGACGCTAAGAAATTTGAGCTGTGGCATTTTAGCTGTTCTTAAAATGCCACAGTAGCATCATAATATTAGCAATGAGTTGTGCATCCAAGTCTTAAAGGCGCGAACGCAAAAGGATGAGCGAGGTTTGACTATGTAGAGCTGACAAGCTGAGACCATGATATATCATAAAAAGGCCACCGTATGGAGGAGGAATCCTTGGTAACTTGCTGTAGCTCCGTTTAAAGGCTGGAGCCCCTGAAAGATGCAGACAGACTGAGCCTCCTCTCCACAGGAGACATTCCAGTCTCACAGTTGCCGACGGCGTTCTCCAAATCCGTTTAAAATCTGTGTTTCTTGGCTGCGTTCGACAGAGTCTTTGACATGTGACGTTCATGTCGATCTGCTGCCATGTACAGTACTGGGTCAAGAAGTGTGGCTGACCTCAGGCCAAACTGCACCACGTTTGTCCGGCTAGTTGTTTGAAACTTCTCTTTGCGTCTTTTATCCATTTTTTTGGTGCTTCATAAGGCTGCAATCTTGCTTCAGAGTGTGCAGGAAGCCACCTCGTCCTGTAAATCAATAATAAACAAGTGTAAAGGATTGTATTTGTCACGCTGGGTTATCTGGTTCATTTTGTGATTCTGTCCTCACTCCACAGACTCTTAGGTTCCTGCTCAGAGATCATAAAACCAAACTCTGTGTGTTGGTTTTTGTGTGTCTACAGTTTTTTGTGAGCTCATCCTAAACAAATCTTTGTTTGGTCGCTGGCTTCCGTCCAGGGAAGATGGGCCTTTTGTGTTTTCTCTAAAAATAAGACCTAGCTTGGTGGTTGTTATTGTGTACACACACGCAAAAGCAGACACACACGTGCACACATTGTTGTGTTGCCTTTTTCACATATGAACGCAAATCCTTAGGCAGTGCCGAGAGGGGAAACAACAAGCAAAAATGATCCCCATGGTTCATTCTTGACCATTGAATTTGAAAAGTTTTTCTGGAGTTTTCAACTGTAGCACTCTGTCTTTATCGAGGTGTATTTTAATATATCAACACATGACGCAGCAAAAAGCTCTCCTGCAAAACAAATTCTCTTAAAAGGAGGCAGATTGAACACTCGAGCTGCAAAATTGCAGCCTTTTCTTCTTGTCCCGCCATAGAACAGTTTGCTGTCACCACTAATTTCCCCCATTTGTGCTGAAATCCAGTAAAGCGCTCAGCTGCTGAAAAAGTGTTAATTTTGTTGGATTTTTCTAAAATCCATGAACTCTTTTGACCCTCTTGAACAAGAGTGAACAAGAATATGTTCAGCAAAGTCAAATGAAGCAGTCAAGTCTGAGCATCCCTGTGGTGGTGAATCCGAACAAGTATTCCAGGGCGAAGGTGGGTGAGAGGCCAGAGGGCTCCGCTGTAATGATTTTTCTCTTTCTCAATCAGATTTTCCATGGCCAAAGACAGACAGAGAGAGAGAGAGAGACAGACAGAGAAGTGCAGAGAAAGAGAGAGTGGGACAGTGAGAGAGACGGGGGAGTGAGATTCGGAGGCCTAGTTAAGTCTGTGGCTTTGTGTTTTATGAAAAGAGTTAAAAAAAGGACATTAAAAGTCAGCATTTTCCACCAGGCAAGGGAATCAGTCGACACACACACACTTGCACACACACACACACACACACACACACACACACACACTGAGTCCCCCGGTGTCCTATTATAAGGCTGAGTGGAGAGGAGGAATGGCTGCATGTGCGCCTGTTTGTCAGCGAGCGTAGATGTGTCAGGGAAGGTGGCTGCAGTTATCAGTCTTCTTTGGGCTCGCTTCCACTCCGCCAGAGTCTCCAAAAGTTTAAAAACACGTCGGGCGATGTGCTTGCAGCGAAGGGACTTGTGTTACAAACACTGCACTTTTTGGTGTCCGTCCTTTTTCCAACCAAAGTAGAATCTTTCCATGGGCATTTTTTAACGTGCCGAGTGGATTTCATCAGCCGAAAGCCCTCCTGAAACCAGATATAAACCTGCTTTGAATGGCTCCTAAAAACATTAGACTCCGAGAGAAGCTTCTGTCGATGACCTTCCTCTGCAGACAACTTCTTCTTGAAGCTGACAAACATGCTAATATGACAAATTTGGATGATGAATGCCGTTAATCGCCTGCTGATTGACGCGCCACAGCTGAGGGAAATCCTCCTTTACGACTGATAAGGCGTGAAGATCCGTGAAACATCAATGTTGTGCATACCAGAGTAGCAGGACTAATGTGCACAGCATGCATGTGGATGTACTCTGTGTGTGTGTGTGTGTGTGTGTGTGTGCAGCTGTTGGTGTCAGAGGTGACTATCGGAGCTTTCAAAGTTTACTATCGGCGTTGAGTGAAACTTCTTCCAGGCAGCAGCTTTCCCAGGGTTTCCCGGGAATACAAAGCTCCACATTTAGGCTAACGTGTTTAATGATTACTGTTACGAATATTTTTTTCTTTCAGCAAAGTTGTTCTCCACCAAATTGCTCACATTACTCATCTCTAAAGGAATGTTATTACATTATGTTTGCTCAATAAATCAGAAGTTGTCGTCCAGCTGCTAAATTAAATCAGATTAGCTGCTGTTTGTAGCATTTCAAAGCAAGAGATGACAGTTTGTGATACAGTCTTTGCTTAATTGCATTTTAATATAATAATTAGAGGCTGGGGAGGCAATATTCTGACAATGCAAGCACACATAAAGGGACATGTACACATATCATTTACATGAGCAGCGCCTTGTCATCAGCAGGCTGTTATGTCTACATGCTTTAAAGTAACCTAAACCGTCTGAACTGTGTTTGCGAGTCCCTCATTTTTTTTTTGTCTGTGTTACTTGGGAGACTATATTTTTGTGGTTTTTGCTTACTTGTGTGTGTACATCAAAGTGTGTGTGTGTGTGTGTGTGTGTGTTTACGCTCTTGTTTTTGTTTTTCTCTCTTCCCTCCATTTCCGTCCAATGGGCATCCCCTCCTTCTCTCCTCCTTCCTCCCTCCCTCCCTCCCTCCCTCGCTCCTCCTCCTCCTCCATCGCCTTCACTGAGATGAAAAAGCAGCTGCAACCAGAAAAAGATCCAGGTGTGTGTGTTTGAATGTGTGCGTACATGTCCAGGAGATTTTCTGCTCCTCTGAAGAATGCTCCTGCAGGTCAGATTAGACTCAGTTGCAGAACAGAAGTGGATGTGGTGACTTAAGTTGTTGGGTCTTCCTGTTTTCCCAACTTCTTCTTCTTTTTCTTTTTTTTACAGCATTATAAGGGCAATAAGGTCAACGTGTGATTCATGGATTCTAAAATGCTATAAATGATTTTCTGGCACTATAGTGAGCTCTAGAGCTCCACTTATATGCTGCTGTCAGTCCTAAAAATAAGTTGCCGTCTCACATTTCCACCCAGTGTGACCTGTCACTCGCACGGTACTATATGCATCCTTTAAAAAAAAAAAAAAATGGTGTTAGGTACGTAATGCATGTTGTAAAATGTAGTGGCTCCGTAGGCTTCGTATGTGATATGTGAATATAATGTAGCGCTAGTAACGATTTTGATTGCTTTTTATGGAGGCTTCATAGAAAATCTTACAGTATATTTAATACGGTGGTTTAGTCAGCTGCTCTCACTCACTTAAAAAAACACAACTATTTAACAATTTACTATGATTCTACATGTTAACGATATCAAATCAAAAATCAAATCAAGTTTATTGTCATTTTGCTGTACATGCACATTACTACAGGCAAGATGAGAGAGTGTTTCTTCAGGATTATTCAACCAGCAAGTTTTGAAGAATGAACGTCTGGGATAAGACACTAAACGTTCGCTGTCGCTGCCTCCTGAAGGGGCCGCTGTGTCCATTCGTTGAACATGGCGAACCTCTTCAGGTCCTGGTAGGTCTTCAGAGACACAAAGACACACATGATGGTGTGACGATGGTGAAGCTGCAGGTGCTGCCCAGAGCTGTCTGTCTGTCTGTCTGCCCGGAATAATGTCGTCCCCTCCAGCTGTATGTTCGTCTGGGATGCTGTCATGGAGCCATGTTTCTGTTAAAGCAGACACACAGCAGTCCCTCCACTCTCTGTGGGTTTCTCTCAGCAAACGTAGCTCGTCCAGCTTGTTGTGGAGGGAGCAGACATTGGAGAGTAGGAGGACGGTCCTGCTGGTCTGGAGCGGTTAGCCTTTAGCCTGCAATGGATCCCAGCTCTCTTCCTCCTCCTTTGTTTATGTTCGTACCATTTGCGCTTCCTTCTCTCTCGAGCAACGGCCGGCGTAGTCTCCGATCGGACTCCATGTTGGTGTAGTTTGTCCACATCACACCCGATCACCGCAATTCCAGCGCTGTTCACTGTCCTGACGCCCAGCAAAGTCTCCCGGCCGCAAGTTTTGTGGAACAAATGTTTAGGATAAACAAGACACGTGCGTCCATATACAACAGATTAAAAGGGCAAATAATGTCCCAATTAAAAATATACATTTCTACAAGTGGTAATTTATTCCTTTAGAACATTTGGTCATGAAGGTACACTTTTATTGCTGTATTGACATCAGCTAAAAATATAATTATTTTACCAATTTTCACTGTTATTTTTTAAAAAAAAGTATCCTAAGGACTGAAAATAGTGAACAGAATTCTATGTTTTATGAAATTACATGTGATATCTACTAAAATTCACAGAAAAAAAGATATTCATTTACATGTTGACTATAAAAACAAACAAATAAAAAACTAATTTAAAAAAAGGCCAAAACTGTAAAAATTCTAAATCTCTCTCTCTCTCTCTCTAAACTAAACATATCATTCTTTTAGAGATATCAGCCTCTTTTCCCCACAATTTCTGCAGCTTTTGAATGCTACAATATTTAAAGATTTTTAACCATTTTTTTCTGGCACACTCGCTGCCAGATTTTCACTGTTCTTATATGAATTTTAATTTTAGTTTCATTTTGAATTAAATTGTATTTTTTACCGTGTGCCACATGCTGTGTTAACAGGTTTTGTATATAACGCGATGGCTCATGATAATCGTACTAAACTACTATATGTAAACCAGTTATTATGTTGTTTAAAAAAGCTGGTCGTGCTGCAAGTATGGTCAGTTTCACTTCATATTCTTTTTTATTTTCTTTCACAAGTTAAAACTGGTAGGCCTTCTTCAGTCAAAATCCTTTGACTTTAGTATCTCATGCTGTTTGCATTCTCCTTTAAAACCTAAAACCTTTGCTTATACCCTACTGTTGTTGTTTCCTCACTTCCTTTTTGCTATATACCCCCTTGTTGCCCCCTTCCCCCACCTCAGACAGGGAGTACCAGTCCTCTGGCAGATACATCCCACAGTCACAAGCTCACGCACAAAAAACGGTGGCCTGCTTCCTGTTGGCAGGGAGTGGCTGTTTTTACTGTGACTCCACTTTGGCGGCGAAGGCTAATTCCTCTGCCGTCTGGCGGCGTGTTTTTGTGTGTGTGTGTGTGTGTGTGTGTGTGTGCGTGCACTCACATGTGCATTTAAATATGTTTGTGTCTCTGCCTCCTCAGCTTCTGAGGTGTCGGTGGGAAGCGGTTCCAGAAATCCGACTGCACATGTGTGTACGTGTAGTTTTATGTGTGCTGTCCTCACGGGGGGGATGTGCAGCACTGTACACAGACAGCAGACTGTAATCATAGTGCTTTCAGAGATGCAGTCTTCCCTCTGCAGTCACATCACATTGTAAAACAGCCACTAAAACTTTGCTGTAAAATGGTTTTGGGCTGGAAAGATGAATTGTAAATTTTAGAATCTTGTCTCAAGAGTAACTGAATGATGCTGACAAAGCATTTTACATGCTCAGCAAAACGCTGTCATGGATTAACCTTCTGAATCCTAAACAGGTTTTACTCATTTTCTGCTCCGTTTACAATTTTACTCACTGTTGGTTCATATTTCTCTGCAATATAACGACCTACACCTGTATGGAAAATGAGAAACCGCAGCGAGAAGTCACTTAAAAGTGTCTCCTTTGCAGTTTAACAAAGATATGATGCCATAAAGCATGAAAAAATAGGAAAATGTACAATAGAGACCTCCATATTTTATAGATATTTAGCTGTTTGCACTTTTACAGCCTCTGCTTTGTGTATGTGTGTGTCTGCAGAAAATTTTAAATCTAAACACCTCTCCCAGGCCTGCCTTCAGGAGGAGTCCCTGTTTTCCTTCACCCAGGTAAGGTGGTTGCTTTCCTCTTTTTTTTGATTTCATTGAGGTATTTTTGAATCACTCTTTGTCTGGTCCTTCCCCTGGAACCAATTTGCCTTGGGAGAGTACCGCAGAGTTTGCTTTGATATCTGCGAGGGTTGTGGAGTGTCTGGTGGACGTGGCACGATGCCCAGCTTTTTTTGCACAACGTCCTTAGACTTCACCAGGGACATATATGGGACTTCTCTCTGGGAAGAACTTTGAGGAACATCAGTGGTTCTCTCATGCTTTTCCTTTGAGAGTGCCGGCAAGTGTACACACTCTGATGATCGCTGAGACGGCAAATCAGGGGTCGCCATCTGTCGAGACCCTTGAGTAACATCAGTGGTTTTCTGATGCTGATACCTGTCAGGTAGTAGTAGCACCTGTAGCAGAGTTAGCCTTTGCCGCCGCAAGAGTGGTGACAACTTTTGCTGGACTGCATCAGGGGTCACCGTCTGTCGAGAACATGGTTCTCTCATGTTTTTCCTCGGGAGTGCCGGCAAACGCACATGCCCTGACAATCGCTGAGACGGCAAATCAGGGGTCACCGTCTGTTGAGACCTTTGAGCAACATCAGTGGTTTTCTGATGCTGATACCTGTCAGGTAGTGGTGGCACCTGTAGCGGAGTTAGCTTTACCCTCCGGAAGAATGATTCCACCTTTTGCTGGACTTTATCAGGGGTCACCACCGTTTTAAGCTGTTCACGGGTACGCTGGCCTTTAAAGGCCAGTGATAGCCCTTCTGATTTCTTATAGGCGTCTTCCATATCAGCAAATAGTAATGCTGTTGATAAAAATTAGTCAAATGGAGCATCAGGTGATTCCTCTGTTTTGTTTTTGTGCCGCAGTTTTGTGTCAAAGTGGGAGTTGAGTTTGGGTTTCATGTTTTCATCCCATTCATCTTTCCCATAAATGCCTATAAAATCCCCTTTTGCTGTCCAGTGTTTGATGTAGCAGTCCAGCCCCCCAGTGCTTATTGCATCACCAGTGGGGACATATAACACACTGACCACCTCAGTCGGATGAGCCTGCCAGGAGTTCAGCAGTGGAGGTCGACACAGACGCAGTGACGATTTCCACCGGTTGACATTTTGATTTGAACGGTTTGCCTTTGCTCTGAAGCCAAAATGCTGAATGTCCCACAGACACACTCTTCCGTCACTATGGCCAGTCAGCAGAATGCTTTCGTCAGTGTTTGTTGACATGCAGGTAATATATGTGCTGTCATCTTCCACTGCCTTAAATTTTGCAATCAGCCCACCTCTCGGGTTAACTGACCAGGCAGAGATGTAGCCGTTTGCTGAGATGAACAATGTGGCCGTGTCCATAGTGGACTGCCTCTTCTTCAGACACAGAGTACAAATCCTGACCTCTGTACTCATCAGTGTTTCCTTGGTTGGAGAAATTTTTTTAGGAGGCTGGTCAGTTATCTTCCCTTGATCTCTTTTTGTTGCCATTGAAATCGAGGGGCACGTAGCATTTTTCATAAAATACATCACCTCGGCTGTGTCTGCGCTCCAGACGACAAAATTTTCGTCACTGGATATGGTAATCAGAAAAAATGCATCCAACTCCATAGATGAAATATCCTTCAGCAGGTCATGCTCCAAGAATCGGTCACCATTTCCATCAGTGTCAAGGTCAAAGATGACGTTGGAATCCTTTGCAGAAACAAACACTCTTGTCTTATAGCAAACAACAGCCGTCACCTCGTTTGGCACGGAGATGGGATGAGTGTCCAGCTTTTTCCCATTGTTGAAATTCCAGAATGAAATTTTCCCAGTCGAAGAAACAGCTATCAGTTTCCGCTGGGTTGGATCCAATGAAATCGTGGTGCGCCCCACGCAATTTTCTTGATTGAACCGCATGACGGCAATTCCAGTTAAAACCTCCCACACTGACACTACACCAGCCTGGCAAACAGAAATAATCTGCTGGAAAATGGGGTGATAGAGCACAGTGCATAGAGAGGTTGTCACGAAGAAATGGTTGAAGATATGAAAAAAGTAGAAACGCTTTGAAACAGAGGAAGGGTGCAGAGGAAGGGTGCATTAACATTTTAAAGTTGAAATGGAGTCTCTAAGTATGCCTGAGCAGTGGAGGTTTGAAAAGTAGTGTAATTTTGTGTGTTTTTTCATCTGTCCCATTCATCTTCAATGGGAGATTTTTTGCGACATTTTGGCGAATTGTGTTGCGACAAATGCGTTTTTCGTAAATCTGTATGTAAGCACACTATTCCCGATCGAGCCGCACGTTTTGATGTATAATTTGTGTGGGTGCTCTCAAATCTGTGGAGTAGGCCATGGAAATTTTGTACGGAAGACCTGAAATCATCAATTTTTGATTTTCCTAGAGTGAAAATGAGCGCTCAATCATTTGAGAAGTAATGTGTAAATTTGTGGTCCTTGAGGCCCTACTTGTACTCTGTACAGGCCCGTGGCACTAAAAACACGCAGGATAACAATAGTGGCCTCGTGCTCAGCCTGTGGCACTAATAATAGTAGTGTGATCTCACAGCCAGAAGGTCCCAAGTTTGAATCTGGGCCTGGGGTGTTCTGTCTGGAGTTTGCATGTTCTCCCTGTAGCTGCATGGGTTCTCACGGGGTTCTCCAGCTTCCTCCCACAGTCTAAAGACATGCTGAGCTTAACTGATTCTAAATTGTCTGTAGGTGTGAATGTGAGTGTGCTAAGTTGTCTGTCTCTTTGTGTAGTCCTGCAATAGACTGGTGACCTGTCCAGGATCAACCCTGTCTTTTCCTTATGCACACACCCCACGCTCAAATGCATAACACATACAAACACACTGGCATTCTTTTGCCACATACACTGCGCTTTAGTTTAGGGTCTGTACCTTATGTAATGTCCTTGTGTTGTTACACAGCCCAGAGAACAGTCACTTTGCATTCCACTGCACATACTGTGTAATAATGTGACATAAACACTTTTTGAATCTTGAAATCTTGAGATCATCTGGGATAGACTCCAGCCCACCTGCAACCCTGCAGGGGATAAAGCACTGTATAGAAAATGGGTGGATGGGATATAATATGGGGCTGCAAGGTGGAACAGTTGGTAGCACTGCTGCCTCACAGCAAGAAGGTCGCCGGTTCGCGTCCCAGTGGGGGCACCTGGATCTTTATGCGTGAAGTTTGCATGTTCTCCCCGTGCAGCGTGGGTT